GAGAAGCTAGGTTACTCACTTCCTTACCTGGTTTCATGCTGTTTTATCTCACCCCTCCCACCCCATGGGGAGGAATATTAAAAGGCAGGTTGCATGACTAGGGTAATTTTCTCTTCCTGTACTGTGTCAAAGAGTCTGTTTTGGGTTCTGGAAGACCAGAGTTTGACTGCCATCTCTTCTACATTTAGCTCTGGAAGCTCAGACAAGTGGTGTAACCACTCAGAAGCCCTCTTTCCTCACTCTTAAAATTAGAATAGTCATAACTAACGTGTATTGCTTACTGGCATGTGCCAGACACCACTCCTAAGCATGTTATGAGGACTATGTCATTTAATTTTCCAACACATGCAGAAAAGGTAAAATCAAATGATTTGCACCTGAGCACTGAGATCATAGCACATGTATTTCCTAGTGTACCCTATATTGCCTTTGAAAATGGTTGTCAGGATTGAATGAGATATTACATGAGACAGAGACCTTCCAAATATAAGGAACTGTAAATGATACTTAGCATTTAGTTTCATGATCTATCTTAATGTTTTCTCTGTAGGGTATGCTTGTCTTAGATTACATAGAATGCAGTTTCTTTTAATAGTATTTTCCTCTATAGAAATACAAGTTGCTAGGCATGGTGGCACACACCTTTAATCCCAGCACTTGGGAAGCAGAGGCAGGTGGATCTCTGTGAGTTCAAGACCAGCTTGGTCTACAAAGAGAGTTATAGGCCAGCTGGGGCTACAGGGAGGCCCTGTCTCAAAAAGACAGAAAACAAAACAAAACAAAAAAAACTCCAAGTCTTTCAAAATTAAATTGTATTTTATACAATAAATTATTGTATAAATTACAATAAATTGTAATTTATACAATTGCTTTGTATAAATAAAGAATACAAATAATTTTGCATTTTTAAAAATTGGGGCTGGAGAGTCTGCTCAGTGGTTAGGAGCACTTACCGCTCTTGAAGAGGATTGGGGTTTGGTTCCTAGCACCCACATAGCAGCTAAGAACTGACCTTAACTCCAATTTCAGGAGATCTGATGCCTCCTTCTGCCCAACCCCCTGCCCTAAGCGCTGCATACACATGGTGCTCTTATATAAAATAAAAATAAATAAATTTTAAAAATTAAAAATTAAAAGATCGGGCCTGTTTAAGCTCCTTTATAGAAAGGGGCTGGGAAGTCATTAGACCCTCACCTGAGATTTCAGTCACTCCCTGCCTCCTGCATCCCCCTCCTAGCTATATGCAATTCCTCCCCAGGTGTATGTAGTCTCAGGAGTCCTACAGTACATAGGAGGTGGAAGGTTAATTGAAGGGGGTTCATCTACCCCAGATTTCAGGATATACTCCCCCCTATTGGGTGGAACTTCTACAATGCAGGTGTTTTGGGGTCATTTATGCTCCTATAAATAAGCCCAATAAA